ACAAAACTCCGACGAAACAGTTTGTCACAGCCCCTCGTTTGTTGTCCTCTTCTCTCTCTCTGCCTACGGTTTACCGGGCAGTTCTATTTGTGACGATATATATATATATTTGTGACGATGTACACAGCCCCTCGTTTGTTGTCCTCTTCTCTCTCTCTGCCTACGGTTCACCGGGCAGTTCTGTTTGTGACGATATATAGTCAAACAGAGCTGCCCGGTAAACCGTAGGGGCAGAGAGGGAGGGAGAAGAGGACAACGAACGAGGGGCTGTGACAAACTGTTTCGTCGGAGTTTCACCGAGTCATATATATGAAAAGCGGAGGCCCCTACGCTCCTCCCCAAGCAGCCTGGACAGGAGCTGGGCCTGGTACACCCATCAACCGTTGAAATACAGACCCGAGTTTGTATCCAGATGCCACAAAGATGACCAGAATAAGAACAATCCGAATTACCTGGGGCCCGGTCAGTTCATTGATGATATCTCAAGGCCGTAACGGTTGCCCTTTGTTTTAAACAAAGAGAGAAAAAGTTGCAACTGGGAGCACGTATAAAAAAAAAAAGAAAAAAAAAAAACAAGACAAGGCGTTATTTTCCTTTGTTTTTTGTGGAAAATGAAGTCGCGAGGTACGTCTGCAAAAAAAACAATGCCCCCAAGGCATCGGCCAGGCAGATCGAAGCTCGCCGTCCGCCATCGCCTACCTACCTTCTCCACCACACAACCTTTTCCCCTGTACAGCACACTTCTTCCATCCATATCTTTCCTCTTCTCACATTTTACTACTTCGGCGGCTTAACACACATCTTTTTCTTAATATCCCCTCCTTCTCTCTTCCTATTTCTGACTTACACGTGTCGCCAATCTAGGCAGTTCTTCTGACATGGAGCAACAACTGTCTGCCCCGCTGAGGCCCCCATCTAGCTCACCAGGATAAGCTCGAAGCTGGATCCTGTTCCGCAGCAGAAGAAGCTCCAAAACCGACAGTTCGCAGCAGACCTCTGGATGAGTGAGCGCATACTCACACTCGGACTTTTTCGACTCCTCTCTGGACGTATTTACGGTCAGATGCATGCAGGAGAAGCCGCAGTTCCGGCCGGCCATACTCACACTCGGACTTTTTCGACTCCTCTCTGCACGTATTTGTGGTCAGATGCATGCAGGAGAAGACGCAGTTCCGGCCATACTCACACTCGGACTTTTTCGACTCCTCGCTGGACGTATTTACGGCCAGATGCATGCAGGAGAAGCCGTACTAGTTTCCGGTCAGATGCATGCAGGAGAAGCCGTAGTAGTTCCGGTCAGATGCATGCAGGAGAAGCCGTAATTCCGGTCAGATGCATGCAGGAGAAGCCGTAATTCCGGTCAGATGCATGCAGGAAAGTCCTAGAGTGAGCATGCTCCGAGGCAGACCTGGTTACCTCAGGGCTTCCCTGCGAGTAACAGGCTGTTACAGACACCAGAGGGCGGGAAAGAGGAAAAGCTCGGCGTAATTGACAGACGACGACGGCAGCGGGGAAGTGCAGCTCACACCATTCTTCTCACTCTGTCGTTCCGTCACAATGACGTGTCACGCTACACTACTGCGCCCTGTTTCACTGACCTGTTGGTGTGACCGTCTGCGCCCGCGCTCTGTGACTGTTCCCTGTGTCACTGATAACTGTTCCCTAGAGTGAGTAAGCTGCTGCTGAAGTCCTCCATGAGGGCATACTCACACCGGCACTTTCCTAAATACGCTTTGGATGCAAAAAAAATGTCAATTAAAATTGATGAATCTGACTGCATTTCCCACCACACCTGGATGAATCTGATCGCAATCACGTCCAGAACTTAGAAAACAAAGTCCTCGTGTGAGTATGCCCTGAGTGTAGGTGAGTAGATGTAGTGTGATGCGATACCGTAGTAACGCGGCGTAGCACCCATTCCTTCCTCGCGAGGAGATCCTCGGCTATGGATGCGCAAAAGGCAGCGGCCGACGACAAGCACCGCGTCACCATGTGGAAGAGAGGTGGCGGAGGGGCGGGAGGGAGGAAGAGAGAGAAGACCACGTTGACAATGAAGTACCTTTGATGCTGCGCTACGCGCACGCGGAAGAAACGACGATGACAAAACTCGTGGCTCTCTTGCCAGCCGCGCTTGGGCGCGCTCGCATGATTTCAAACGTTCAAAAAAATGAAGAAATTGAATAAAATAATAGAAGATATCACTTGTCGACCCGCGACCGACAGTCTCGAGTCCACGTAGCGAATTGGAAGTGCCGGCCGGCGAGAGAGCCAAGAGTTTGATCGGTGTCCGTTGCCTCAGGATGACTACCGGTAATTCCACACTTCAGGGGCCAAGTTCCACTTAGCCTAATTCTCAACTTCTGACCGTAGATTACGATAATCAGCGGCCAGAAATGAAGAATCAGGGTAAGTGGGACTTGGCCCCCGGTACCATGCCCAGAGCGGCCGCCGGGCCGTGTACCTGAAAGTGTAAGGTGTACTAGTTTGTTCTGACAGTTTTTCGGACCCAAGCGCGCTTTGCCTTGGCTGGGAAGAATCTGCGCGCCATCCCAGCATCCCCTAAAGATTCAAAAAGGAAGGAGGAAATGAAGGAGGGAGGCGTGAAAAAGAAGCCAAGATCCAGCCGCCTAGCTCAGTTGGTAAGGCACGCAAGTGGCATTCAGGAGGGCTTGGGTTCAATCCCCTTTGGCCTCATGTACCTTCCTGGGCAAGCTTGGCGCTCGCCACCTAGAGATATGCCGTTGGTCCCTCGAGTGGCTTTGAGCAGAGACTGCTGATGTTCATAGAGGGGGGGCACCAGGGGCCAAGTCCCACTAGCAGCGTTGAGCTACCTCAACGCGTGAATGTGGACGCTTTTGCGGAGATGTGCAGAAATGGTGTTGAGTTTCCTGAACTGCACGTCTCCACAAACACGTCCAGATTCAGGCGTTCAGGTAGCTCAACGCTGCTAGTGGGACTTGGCCCCGGATGGGAGGCACACTGACTGGCCCATCCAAGAAGCTCGGTCCTCATGCTACCCGCTGACCCCTGGCCAGTATCGCCCACCTGCTGTAGCACCTGCTGGTGAGTGCAGCTCCAGCATGTTCCCTCTTGAGCACAGATCTGGCTGCTACGGGGTTATAATGACAATAAAAAAGGCAGGAAATGCCATCCTGTCCAGATTTGACAAGTTCAAAAAGAAATAAAGGAAAAAAAAAAGGAACCGGTGAAGGCAGGCAGGAACAAACAATCCGACACGACACATCTCGAGGTCTGCAGAGGTCCCATTCCGCCATCAACATCCGTTCCGCTAGCTCCATCCAGTGCTCCTTTGCGGGGGCAGATGCAATCTTACTTATCCAGTTGCATAATTGAGCTTGGTTTTTGCTTGTTGGATCTGCCAGGCCCAAGCCTCCTTTGTTTTTAGGGAACGTCAAAGTGTCCCAAGCATCTTTGATCAAGAACCCTTCCCCCTCCTGCGCCCTTGGTTTCCATAGGAACCTGGCTACTTGGGTCATACATTGGACCGCGGGCCTTACCCATTAAACCACCATCACTTGGCCAATACATGGGCCATGGACCTTCCCCGTTAACCCGTCGACGCCTCAGGGGGTCGGCCATGGGAAGGCCCGGTCATTGCTCCAAGGCCGGGCGCCACTTTCTGC